CGTGTTTCCCAGGGGCCGAGCCCTCCCTCCCGCTCCCCTCCCCCCTCCCTCTCGTTCCCCCCTCCCCCCTCCCCTTCCCCTCCCTCATTCTCCCTCTCTCGTTCTCTCTCAACAAAAAAGTTAAAAAAAAAAAAAAAAAGACCAATGGTCCAACTGAAAAACGTACAAAGATAAAAATCAGCAGATCACAGCAGGGAAAACTGTGGAAGCCAATATACAAATGAAAAGATATTCAAGCTCGGTAACCAGGGCGGTGCACGTAAAAACCATCTCAGATAAAAACCATCTCAGATCTATCCGGTTGATAGAATTTTATCCCAACCCAGAACTGGCATACTCTGGTTTCTCTTCAGATCGAATAAATCTTTCGCCTTTTACCAACCCAGAACTGGCAAAGTTGGGGGAAATGCTAACTCAATTCTGGTAGGAAAACTCTCGGGAAGCAACTTGGCCAGGATCTAACAAAGGTGATGATAGGTCTATCCTTCAATCTGACAATTCCATTTCTGAGGGTGCCCGCTCTTGATCTCGAGTGAGGAGTTCGAGTCCCAACTGGGCATGGAGTTTACTTATAAATAAAAATTTAAAAAAAGATTTAATTCCACTTCTGGGTACAGATGCCCTAAAAGCAACTCAAGTACATGTGCTCAGGTTGCTCAAGAGTTGGGTTCATACAGTACTACTTGTAATAGCAGTAAACTAACGCACTAATGCCCACCACCAGAATGGAGAATCGTAGTGTTTTTATGTTGAATTTACTGCAATGCAAACAAATGAACTACAGGTGTATACAATGTAGATTAATCTACACAGTAATATTTTGGGGGGGGGCAAGTTTCAGAAACATATGCCAGCATAATACTTTTTCTAAAACTCAAGAATGAACACTAAGAACTAGGTTATTTAGGAACGCATACATACGTAATCAAACGGTTTTGAAAGGAATGACGAAACAGTACAAGGGAGAAGCACGCAGGTACAGCAGATGCAAGTGATTATCAATTTCTGAATTCCTGATTGGAGTATTTGCTTTACAGGTATTCATCAATAAGCAAGCAAATTTAAGTATCTAATAAAGGTGAAATTTATTTTAAAAAAATTTTTAACATTTATTTATTTTTCAGAGATAGAGCAAGCATGAGCAGGAAGGGGCAGAGAGAGGGAGATAGAGAATCGAAAGCAGATTCCAGGCTCTGAGCTGTCAGCACAGAGCCCGACGCGGGGCTCGATCTCACGGACCGTGAGATTATGACCGGAGCCGAAGTCAGCTGCTTACCCGACTGAGCTACCCAGGAGCCCCAAACAAAGGTGGTATTTTAAAAAGGGAGTCGTACATGGATCCACAATAAATACCTTATAGTTAATCGAACTCTTGCACTAATGAAACGAGACCATCAGACTGAGGTGGCTCTAATAGCAGCAGCAGAATACGTAAGCAATGCCAAACCGAAGCCTGTGACTGCCTCAAGGCTAAGAAGCCAAAACCTAAAGACCGCCAACCACACAGCCAACCAGGCTTTACAAAGCAGGCAACCGCAGCAGCTATTAGCTAGTCAAGTAATCTCCTGGGTTTGCTTCCAGCTCTCTAAAAATCTCGCCCTACCACTGCCCAATCTAAATCGATTTTGGCTTTAAAAAAGTCTTAAAATATTTAATATGCCTCAGTTTATCTCTGAACCCACCTGAAGCCCACTGGGAACCATGAAATAAGAGGAAGGACATAAAGACAAAAAGAGGGGCTCCTGGCTGGCTCATTCAGAAAACCGTGTGACTCTTGACCAGAGTCAGGAGTTTGAGCACCATATGGGGTAGAGAGCTTACCTAAATAAATAAAACTTTTAAACATTAAAAAAAAAAAAAAAAGACAAAAAGAAACTGAGGCCCAGACAAGTTAAACAACTTGCTTAAGATCAGAGATGCTGCTGGGAACTGAAGCCAAGCATGGAACCAGGGATCTCAAGGGCATCCATTTAGACTTCTGTACGGAATCTGACTGCCGATACTCCCTTTTCATTCACTTTACTACTAGGACTTTCATGACCCCAACTTCCTAGATCCTCCTTATACTTCACTGACTATTCTTTCTCTGTATTTCATGGACCCCACCCCGACCCCCCTTCATTTCTTAAATACGTTGGTTTCCCAGGATCTATCTTCAGCCAGCTGGTCAAGAAACTTCCCTCCTTGGAGAAAAGATAGAGGAATAGGAGATAACCTATGAGCCATCTGCATTCCTTTACAAACCGAACAAAACACATACACAAACCAAGAACAGAACACACAAACAAAAAACATCAGAAGGATAGGATGTAATTCTCAGTTTCACCAATGGTGATGTTTTACTCTAGGTCCCAGTGGAGCTATTCATTACAATCTCTGAAGTAGTAGTAAACTGCAGCCTAAAGCAATTTTAAACTAATAACTTAATCAAAATTAGTTTAACATAAGAAGGGCCTTTCAGTTACCATAACTTCTTGACTAAGTTCTTTTTCAACATGAATACGAATTCACTTAACACAACTGAAATTATATAGTGAAAGCATTGTATGTTGAGAAGAAAGCAGCGTATTAGCTGTCTTTTTAAAAGTTCAGCTGTGCCAGTTACACATAATCAAAATACCAATGAGCCACTGTATCCAAGCCAATTTATTTAATAAATTGAGAAAAAATACAGTTGTAGAATTCAAACCTTCTCTCTCCACTTCTTAAAATGTCCACAGAATTTTTACTAAAGCACGGCATTATGTAGCCTGTACAATTATACTGCTGTGTTGAACAGCCATTTTCATCTCTAGGAGACAAGGAAATAGGAGTGTTTTTTAACTAAGAATTTTCATACTGAACATGAAAGCTCATAAGGCATGAAAGAATATTTTAAATTGTACTTAAATTCAAGCATAAAACTACGTTTGCTTACTAAGTCTATTCATCAGAAAATTCAAGGTCACTATTATAATACTCTAACATTCTGTTTTTCTCTTTGCAGTCTTTAAATTTCCTATACTTTGTAAAAACTAAACAACTACTACAATAACAACAAAACCCAACCCTAAACCCGTAATCAATTAGGTAAGTTATTCAAAGCTTTTATGATCATTCTTACCATGGAATTTAAAAACACACTCGCAGGGTGCCTAGGTGGCTCAGCTGGGTAAGCATCCCACTCTTGATTTTGGCTCAGGTCATGATCTTGTGGTTCATAAGTTAAAGCCCTGCTTCGGCCTCTGCACTGACAGTGTGGAGCCTGCTTGGAATATTCTCTCTCTCTCTCTCTCTCTCTCTCTCCCCCTCCCTCCCTCCCTCAGCTCTCTCAAAATTAAAAAAACCAAAACAAAATAAGAAAACCACCACCAACAAAAACATACTTGCCTATCCACCCCAAGTATTCCATATACAGATCTTCCCCGTGTGGCTTACACAAGAAATTAGCCAAAAACCTAGGCTGCATGGGGCAAATGGACGGATACAACAGAAAAACTGAAATGAGAGCTAAAGTTAGAGCTGCTGGAAATGTAGCACAGGCATCAAGTTTTTTTTATTTTGCTAGCAAATTTCTCACCGCACTTAAGTGCCCCCAAAGTAAAAAATTCCGCCTCTTGAGAACTGAAGGCCGCCTGTTTTGTCTGTATTCCAGGAAATAAATCAGATGCCACTCTTTAGTTGGTTTCCCTTCACCTAATGGTATGCTGTGGCACAATTCATTCTTTCACCAAACGTTTACTGACCGCCTATCATGTACAAAGAACTGGGGCTTCCGTTGAGGCAGGCCCAGCTCCCCAGGAGTTCCCTAGTTAAGTAGGAAAACAGGCATTTATGTGCGTGCTTACTTGGGCCCATATCCCATTACCCTAAGCCACAGGACCAGGTGTTTCAGATTTGGGAAGTTTTCAGATTTTAAAAAGGTGTGTTCATACACTGCATAACATACC